TAATACAATATACTTTCAGCTTCAAAATTAAATTTTTTTTTATCAATATTATAGTTTAAGCTTATTATTTTTTTTTTTTAAACTAATACCTACTCAATTATAAAAATGACATAAAATGATAATAATTTCAGAACATAATAATTATTAATAACTCGTGACCTTATAAGATAATATTATTATTAACTAAAAATAATCTTCTTTTTGTAGGTATACTGTTGTTCTAATAAGATAATATTTACAATCTATACTAGAAACAAGTGAATAATAATAATAATTACAAATACTATAATTTCTTCAAATACCTCAAAACATTTATCATTTTATACGTTCAATAAGTATTTGAACGACATTTTTTAAATGTTTTTATGTCTTGCGGCAAGTCAAGTTGACTTCCTATGCAACATTCATTATTGTCAACTARTTCAATGTGAACWAGACCACCCTGAAAAATACATTCAATGTCCAAATAAAATGTACCTACCTACTTGATATTGAATTTTGAAATGTATATTTTGATYTTTAAATGTGGGTCACCCTGTTGGAGCGTTTTTTGCTGGAAGGTCATGTGTTCGAAACATACTGCGAGCGAGAATAATCATTATTACCTTTAAATGTTTTTTATAACATTATAACCATATACTTATACATAATTTAAAGAATAAAAAAAAAWATTGGAATACTCATAAATAAATTATGGCCAACCATAATAAACAAAAAAGAATATTTACGGCTTTCGTGATTTTACAAGACATGTTGGTTACTACATTTAATATGACGATAGTGCTGTATACATTATAAATCTGTAACTGAAACAAATATCATCTCAAGTACAGAAGAATATAAAAATAATTTAAATACATGAGTAGGTAATTTTTACAGTACTAACCACTTTAAAACATGTTATAATATATTATACAGGTTGGATTGCCAGCGAAATATAAATCTCATGTTTTGATAAAAAGCTTTAACAACTAAGTAGGTAGGTATCTAAAAAAATTATATAATTGAAATACTACATAGAAATTAAAACAGTGGCCAAATTATAACAAAATAAATATTTTTTAATTATTATATTGAAGGCTGAAAATAATTTGTTTTTATCTTTAAAATTATATGTGCATATCGACTACCGTGGTCCATTGGCGTCCAAAAATAAGAKCTATTTTTAATATAATTACCATGATTAATGTTTGATGTGTTTACGGCTTGCGGCTGTTATGTTTTTAAATCTATGTAAGTTTATATTTATGAATGATAGACAAATAACATTGTTATGTTGAAATTGTTTTTTAACTGTGATCACCTTATTGTAAGAGTCAAGGTAATACGAATCAAGAATGTGATGACAATCGATAAAAATGATATATTATTACCTATTSTTATTAATAATTTGAATCTTTGATTGATTGTTTTTATTATTATTAGTATCTAGGCAAGGACTTAAATAAAGAGTTGTAAAGTGCAGATATGGCGTTTACACAATACAATATTAAATACGTAGAATCTATAAAAAAGTGCTATACACTATATATAAACAGGAATATAAACACATTTAAAACTTGTAAGTTAAACGATATTTATGGTATTACTTATGTAAAATTAAGCATAATTTAAAAACTTTGGGTTAAAACTCAAAAGTTTTAATTTAACTTGTACTAATCCTCATATAATATTTTAAAAATGCCTAACTATAAAATAGGTATATCGTATAAAACAAACAATATATAAATATAATACGTCTTAATAATATTATTTTCATGGTTTTTATAAATTTGTTTTTTATATTTTTACACTAATCGACAGTCGTAAACTCATTTAGACAATTATTGTCACATGGTTCATGGTTATATATAATAATTATAGGTATACATTACGTAAATTCAATTAAAATAATGAAACTCAATAATGTACCTTGGTAAGTATCAATAAATAAAGGRGATTCGAATAACTTACTGTTTTTTATAGCTTAAAGTTTAAACTAATGTAAAAAGCCTTAGTTTAAACTTAAAACTAAAATTATTTCATTTTCAGTAATTACACTTATTTTAAACGAAATGCATCAGGCGCTATATCCTAACTTCCGCAAGTGGATTGTCTATTTCGATAGAATTTTTCCACAAAGCGATGTAAAAGATAATATATTAATATACCGACTTGACCGTGAACTGAGGTGCGCACTCAGACCAAAATACTCAGTAGTGCACTTTAATTTCTATTTCTTTTTTTTTTTTGCGAGCAAAGTCAGGAAATATACCTAATATATAGTAGTAGTATAGGAATTCCGATCCTGATATCTCCACTTCCTCCACTTCCTTCACCTGTTCACTACACATCCTCCACCACCATCTCCACTTCTTCCACCTGCTCACTACACTTCTGTCAACTGTTCCTCCACCGCCTATATACTTATAAAAATAGAAAACAGGTGGAGTAAGTGGAGGAAGTAGAGGTCACAGGATCGGCATTCCTATACTTTTTATAGTATAATATTTCATATAAATATACGAGAAGCTTTACAACGGTGCGTTGAGAATTTTCTTAACAAGGTTGTGTATATTTTATACAAATTAATATGTTATTCTGTAATACAAATGGCTAAATAAATATAGGAATAATTCTATGCCATAATTTTTATTTAAAAAAAAAATAATGGAATAGATTATTTGGTTAAATACGTATATGTTTATTATTCAATAGTATTTAATTATGGCCGGATGGGCTTAATGTTTGCTCGTCTTGAAAACAATGTTGGTGTTCAAGGCATATGCCTAGCTAATTTTTATTAAATGCGTTAATAAATTATTTTAATAGCCATTATTTTATATATAACACAATATATCAAATAACATATGTTTAAAAAAAAATGTTTCTATAATTTTGTTTTAATAACATTATGGAATTACAAAACGATTTTTAAATTTGAACACTTATTAATATTATGTCCTTCTAATACGTCATAATGGCCAAACAAGTGACCGGCGTCCACATATTTTTAATGAGCAATAAATATCTACTATATAAAAGTTTAGGTACGTGGTTGTATACGTTAATGTGGTTTTAGTTTTAATATATATTAATAGGTTATATAATAATCGTCTACGATATAGTGTAGTAACTATTCGTCATATTTATACTAAATTAAAAAGAGTAGTTTGTATAAAACGCACAATATAATACAWATTTAATTACATGTATCCATGATAAATTTATTATATTAGCATTGATCAAATATTAATTATAAGATTCATATAGTTGCCATACAAACTGGAATCGTTATCAGTTTTCAAGAGATTATAGGTATATTACGCAGTACAGGTACAAAATTGATTGAGTAAACGAAACTGCAGACCATTTATACTGTAATATAGAAGTTATATATTAAATATTATACAATGTAGCTAAGCTTTTTTTTTATGTCAAGGGCACTATTAACGTCCAGTTATTGGAGAAGTTAAAAAAAAGTAGATAGGTAGTCAAAGTTCGTAAACGATCACGTTCCGCCTTTATTATGGTAATTTTTTTTTTTTTTTGAATGGTCATATTTTTAAGTATTTTGATATATTTGTTTAATAGTATTCTGTTTGAGTAAAGAACAAGAATCATTCAGAAAATTATTAACATTTTGTATACATCAAAAACAATATACTCTATAAGTAGAGTATTAGGTGAGATAAACCTCATGATACACAGGATACTCTAACTTAAATTAAACAAGATATTATTATTGGTATTAAAATTGATTTTGTATAATAATATAATTTATACGGTRATTAATGRACGCTTTATTTTTAACAGTTTAACAGTTTATATCATAGTGATTTTAAAACTTAAGATATCTCTAAAAATAATTAAAATTTCTAGTGTCATAAAACTGCAGTATGATGAAAACCATTTGTAAAATGTGTGAACACAATATTTAACATGGAATAGAATTATCAAACTGCATAATATATTAATATACGAATAATAAATATATAATGCACATAGAGAATATAATATGCGTAAATTAAACTATAATACCTAATAAATAATACATTACAAACGTTACAAACTTCCGAAGCTTGTATTACTTTAATTACAATAATACCCATGGTAATAATTAGGGCTAGCATTTATATATACAACAGAAATGTTAAAATATGCAGAGATTTTTATTTTATAACAAAAATCAACTATTTTTCACATAAGAAGCAGAAATAATTACATATTACTGACTGGATTACCTAAATTGATATCCGACAACTTTAGTTTATAATTTATTAGTGTATTTAAAACAATAATTATATGAATACAATTTGAAATTTCTATTTACTAATTATCATTATCAAAAATACTAAATATAGAATGATATGCATATTGTACAAAATAGGTAAAGAAAAAATATTATATTAAATTTAAAATGAAYCGAATCGCGGACATAACTGACAATTAATCAATTTGGGGTATTTGAACTAATACAAATGCTTAAGAATCCTACAGCGATCATAGTAATACATTGTAAAATAATTTACCAGTGAATAATATACAAGGTGATTCACCAAGTATGACCACCTTCAATAAGTCAGTWWATGTTATTCAAAATCTAATTTTTTAGAATTTAGAAATAAATTTAAATTATTAAAATAACAAGATACTTAAATTATTAAACTCTAATTAAGATTTTTTGTACTACCTTAGGAGTGTTTTGTGAGCATAAAAATTTCTTTTTTCGAATGAGAACTTACATTCTACTGTAACATATATTTTGGTGAAATGGTTTTTTGAAAATTATGGCGTATCAAAATCAAAATTCGAACTAGTCKTTTTTGAGTTATTTAACTTTGAGGTTCGTGCTATTAGGTTTGGAATAATAGGGGACATGGTGATTTATCAACAATTATAATTTATAAAAATAATCCAACTATAATAAATACTAGTTATAATATTATAAATGTTATACATTTATTTTATATTTTTAAATGCTATTATTCTTATTATAAACATTTTAATAATTATTGGGACTCTAGAATTTTTAACTAGGTACATCAACATTTTCAAAAAAATTGTCCACTAATATTATCTATTAATCTAATTTAAAGGGAAAGGGGGTTTCATTTGAAAAACAGAAGCTTCAAATTTGTATTTCAATTAGATAATATATTTAAATGGTAAGAAAAAATAGGTTGATCATGTTTGATGATCACTTTGTATATTTGCACCTATATGACAGAATTATAAAAATGAAATACATTCTTTTTGATTTGCTTATTTTATTATTTAAAAAATAGATTTCCAGCGAGGCTATTGGTTTCATAATAACCAATGTATATTGCTTTTTTTTATTTTTAAATTTTGATATTTTAAACAAAAACTGGAGAAAAAGATACTCATAAAAATTCTCATAACTAACCGCTTTTTGGAGAAAATAAGAACGATTATATAAATAAGGTCTCATATATCAATGATATAATATCATAGATATATTATTATGTTTGGTCGTCTTGCATGTTAATTAAACAATTAAATAAATGGATTTCACAATCATCGTAAACCGTTAAAATTAGAATTAAACGAGTTTAATGTTATAGATAAATAATAATAAAGTGCTTTATTGTGCTTTATTATTAAAGTGGTCACCACCAGGTACAGTATATAAAAATTATAAAGACATGTGATTGAAAAATTGTATTTTAATTTAAAACATGTTATTAGAAATAAATAAATTATGATTTAGATCTCACAAAAATCAATTTAGTAATACGAGGACATATTTTTGTATCTAACTGTATTTTGGTAAATAAGATACAAATATGTTTAAATTATCACTATACAAAAATATTACCTATAACATTAGTATATACTAATAGATTTTATAAATTTTGCATTGTATTATATTAMACAATTATCATACGAATTAGTGATATTTTGTGGTTTTAGAATTTCAGGTCAATACCACACAAGTTAGCTAAGTACAAGGACGTTTAATGTATAGTTCCACTTAAATAATTTGTAAATTATCTAGTTACCAATGCACATAATACACAGGTATGACTATATTTTTCCCCTAAGGTCTTATAAACAGATTACAGGATCTTAATGGCATGTATTACTTGTCATATATACGTATTTAAAAAAATGTACCTACCTATACATTTTATTATTTTTTAATAAGTAGTACTTATTTAGATACTACGTTATTCAAAATATGAAATAGCTATATTTTGGCGAATTATTATTTGAATCAGCGATTCCGTAAATATAATTTAATATTATGTGAATTTGTTTTAGTACAACTGTGGAAATATGTATGCTAATAATTGATAAACATTATTTCTAATTTTAATTTTTAATTTTTTGGTAAACGCAGTTGATATAGAGTTATCAATGAGTAAACTATCTTGACTTAAATGTTTTCTGCTTTTAATATATTATATGTAATTATATCGCAAAATTTAAAACATATAAAAGATGTTTTAAAACGAAACATGTCTAATTTTTAGTTATTTCAGTGAATTATACAAATATTAGAAACTCTTTAATATATACGGATYCATTTAAAAAAGTGACCTATAGTGGCAATAGGTATCTTTTTCTCGCTGGACAGATTATAGCTTATACAATGGTTTTTATGTATATTAAAATTATATAKTGTATGTAATTGTATTTGAAAATATAAAAACTTACTCAAATCCGGTAAGAATATTCAGAAGGGTTGATTTTCCAGCACCGGATGGTCCCATAATTACAGTTAGTTCGCCACTGTTAAAACGCCCAGAAACGCCTTTGAGTACTTGTTTCTTTTCTAAAATAAATAAAAACACATATTACATTAAACAAGAAATAACATCATCAACATCAATAAATTCATCTCACATAAATAAACCATCATTGTATTTTATTTTATTACGATATTTGAAGGTACAATAGTACGTATCGACCAGATATTAAATAACATTGCTCAATTGCTATTAATAAAATAATGTTTACATATCACAATTTCGTATAGAATTCAGATTTAGGTACTTATGTTATGTAAATAAAAGATTTCGACGTGAAACCTAGAAAAGAAAAGAATATAGACGTTTCGTGTAAATGTTTGAAAACAATATGAAATGGGACAGATTGATATAGCGCTGTGCACCGCGGAAACCGAGTCAGAGCACACCTATAATAAGTTTGTAGGTAAATTTACCGTTATCTTCTATTTATTTGATTTTGTCATAATGTCATTATTACACAACGTATTATAGTCATTGCAGTGATGTATTTAATTATTTTCATTTTTGAGAAATATTTTAATAACGTAATTTAAAATACATTATTAATTAATCGCTCATCAATAAAAATGTGTAGATATATTTTATAATTGCATTTTAGGTACACCAAATAAATTAAATATTAAATATTAGTTAAAAGCACTATTTACTGACCTCGGATCCTACATATTTCATATCAAATCAATGTTACTATATTTAATTGTAATGATATGATAATTAATTATCATACTTAATGCCAATATTATTCGTAATTTATTATTGTTATTATTTATAATCATATCATACGGATGGCAGGATCAATATACATACAAAATTTACATAGGATACGGCATTATGACTATATAGCTATATGCCTGACTAGAGTACATTCTAATATTATTCTTGTCTTAATATTATACGTTTTAAGTTTGAAACTAGTAAGTTATAACTTAAGATTTCATAGATAATCTATAGTATGCCCATATGTCTCGCGGTAATTACCAACAACTTAAATGATGCGTTTCGTTTGCTATATTTTCGTTAAATGCATTCAAATTATTTTCTAATAGTAGATTGTAGATATATACATATGATTCCTAACAAGGGACCTATTGATTTTAGTTATTGAATTATATGAATCAAATTATTAAAATAATATATAGGTAATTCACATTAAGGTTTACTTGGTGACCATGTAAAACTAACAAACTGTAAGATGTATACAATGATTATAGATTACTTTTATAATAATTTTATAATAATTTTATTATATTCTGAGGTAGTATACGGTATATCCTTTATATTTTTCRCGGCTTATTATAATATATAGTTCATAGATTATTCAGGTTTTGTGCATCCGAATTCCGAGTATAATATTAAATACCTGTTTTACCACACAAGGTAAACACATAGGTCAAGATTTGTTCAATATAGTTATTTAAAAATTTCATTGAGGATAAATATTCCGAAGTCATAATACATATGTTTGATTGAACCAATATAACATAAAATATAATTTATAAGCATACAATTAGCAACAGTACCTAAATATATTTTCATAGCTTTTAAGCACCTTTTTTTCCCTGTTCAAAAACCAGATACCGGTGGGAACTGTTCATTACAATACTTCTACCTGTTCCTGTATCGTTTATTTACCAACATAACAATTTATACAAAATTGAGCACTTCTAACCACCCAGAAACGCTGGTCTTTGGCACACAGAAAACAATACTTTTTACCCTACCCGTCCATCTTTCGCTTGTCTGACGAGCTCTGCAGCCTCCTACTGCCCGAGTATCGTCTCCACCAACCTGGAGCTTTTAAGCTTCTAGATAYCTACCTATAAGCATCAAAACAGTTTCTTATAATTTTTCAGACAAAAATATTAAGTAAGCATWTTCTAAGCTTAAATCTACAGAACTCATTGAATTAAAAAAAGTTAATTATTAATTTAAAATTACAACAATAATATTTTATGAATGTAAATGAAAATAAACTCTGATAAGGTACTAATTTACTTTTAATTGACTTGTAGTTAATTATAAAATTAGTTTAGAAAATGTTTTGTAAAAAAACGTTTATTTAATAATGAATGATTAGGATATATACTAAAAATATTAAACCTACAAATTAATTATTGAGTTCGATATAATATAATAAAGAATACATTTTGACAATAAAAATTTTTAAATCTGCATTTTTAACTGAGTGCACACGCCATTATGTTATTCAAATTTACACTATATTTCTATATATTATGGCGCTTTTCGTCACGCTTATGAAAACTAGGTTTTTAATAACTTTAAATTTATTCAGGTATAATATTATGATTAACTAACTGTTTACATAAACTCAAATTACCATACTTAGATTTATAGTATTATTACCTGGGATCGAAACCGTTTTAAATTTTAACGGTTTCAGTTTTTGAGAACGGTTTTCTACATTTTCTGGTTTTTGAAAATGTTTGGTTTTGGTTTTTGGAACGGTTTTTTTTCAAACTTTGATTTCATTTTCCTGCGTCTAATAATTGTAGACCCAATTTTTATTATCTATTAACTATTAAGGGCACACACTATTTTAGGCTTAAAAATTGTTAGAAATTTACATTATTTTTATTAACATTTTTCGTTTTTATTACCAATTCTCAATAGACAATAAATAATAACATTATAAATACAATATATCATTATTTTAGTATCTGTGTTCAGTGTTGTAATAGTCAGATCACATGTAAAAAATTTGTATTTTAATTTTGAACCTATAAGTATAATWATAATATAAAATATAAATAGAACAATATTCGTATTATCAATTATTATTTTGTAATACTGAGTACCTTATAGCGTCAGGTAAATTTTATAATGTTTTTTTAGAACATTATATTATTTTCTTCGTATGAAAATACTCGATTGAACTAGAATTATAAATAATGTAATTAACTTTATAAAATTCGAAGAAACCGATATTAATTTTAAATTTTAATCGGTTTTTCAAGCACGGATCAAGAACGGTTTTTCAATTCTATGATTTCGGTTTGGGTTTTGCAAACAGTTATTTAAAAACCTTCGGTTTCAATTACGGGTTTTTAACCGGTGTTTTGAGGCTGTTGGTATCGGTTCCGGTTCCGGTTCCGATGTTCCATAATGAAAATAAACCGCGGTTTTAACCGATTTTTCAGAAACTGGTTTCAATCCCTGATTATTACCATTATTATTTTTTTTGTATGTTATATTGAAATATAAAAGAAGCTAGAGTGTTTCAATAAGCCACAATAAGAAAATAATTAAAATAAACTTTATTTTTGTGCTTAATATTTTATTTAAAATAATAAATAATTTGTATCGTTAAAATATATTGTATATATTGCCTTATAGTTTTATTTTTATTTCTATATATTAAAATTTAATTATAATAACATTAATAACTAGTTTTCTATTTTTTTCCAATTATTATTATTATATATATATATAAGTATATATTGGAGTTCATAGTATTTGGTGGCATCGTTTTACCGTTAGCCCCAAATATTATTTTGTCTTAAATTGTCTTTTTTAAGATTGTTTATAATGAATATTATTTTAAATATGGATTATTAATTATTTTTAAGTAGTATTTTAATACAATTTTATCTTATAGAAGATTAAATTTCTCTATTTAATATTTATTTAATGTTTTAGACAGCAAAATACGTCGTAATTACACGTGTGAATACTACTAATGTTCTTAATATAGCTGTCACGGAAATAATCGTATGTTGTATTGGACTAGGGTATAACTAAACAGAACCGGAAGGAAACTAAAGTCAATATAAATTCGTTTTCTCTTTTATTAACTGACAACAAGCTAGCTAGTTCGTCACAGTGTATAATACCTACCATGTATTTTGAATAAAAAAAACTAGTAGGTATAACGAATTGTGCAGTTTGTTTCTAATCAAATGAATTGTTTAGATGTAAAATAATTGACTATACACATTAAACAAAATAAATACAAATATTTATAATATTTGTTAGGTGGAAAATTAATTTGATTTCAAAAAATAACTTTATAGTATTATAGTTTACTCATAAGAAAAATAATACATTATGAAATGATTACATAGAATTTATGAATTTAGAAATGAGAAATATATTTAATATGCATAGTATAAACTAAGTATTTAAACAGATTAACGAAATGTATATATTKMAATATATTTGTCATTAGGTATTGAAATTCTTAAGGAAATAAATCAAAATAACATCAATGTTTTTTATATGGTAGGCGCCTAAGACTATGAAACTATCTTAAATTTAAATTGAACGACGATGCTAAATAAATGGTTTTGAAGCTATTATTTGAACACTGTATAATAGGCGATAGCGCTATCTACACAGAGTAATATTTTTTTAAATGATACACGCCGAATATATTAGGTAATAAATAATAATATATTTAGACTTTTAGATTAAGAGTAAAATCAATAAAAAGTTTTACAGAAGTGATATAGTCATACATTTTTATTTTATTTTTTAAATTAAAATGTTAGTTTTCGAGGATAATAGCTGTACTTGTAAAAATATTATTTAGTTTATTATAGTTATATTAGATTACATTTTGGATGATTTAATAAATATACTAACCAACATGGTCTACGAATATTATAAAAGACATATTTAAGGAAATGTTAATATATGGATACTAAAATTATTTTTAGACATATAAACGATAATTAGTTAATGTAAAATTGCAATTTATAATGGTCTACAAAACCTTTAAAACAAATTAAACACTCCTATTCATTATTGGTTAAAAAAAAAACATCGCAGGTAA